CGCCGGAACAGTGCTTCGATGTACGACAGGCGACGGTCCAACCGCCAGCTCAAGATCCGGCTACTCCAGGCTGAAATGGTGGAGACTTTCTCTCTTGTATGGATGCGCCTCGTGGAGCCTAACAGCGGAGCACTACACGAAGCTCAATGGACACGAAGCTCAATGGGACCCACCGCCAGTTCCTTTTACACGGTGCATCGGCTGGAGCAAGCGGAAACGCTCAGACCGCCCCCTGCCCTATGCCCAGGCCCTCGTCCAAGCAGGCTGCGAGGAAACCATCGAGGCCACCGTGCGCAAACGGAGACTGTGTTTCGCGGGCTTTGTTATGCGCATGGAGGACAGCCGCCTCCCCAAGCGCATGCTGGTAGGAGCGATGGCGGAGGGCGTGGGATACCGGGGCGGGCAGGAGAGCGGCTGGGTGTCTCGTCTAGGAGAGGACCTCGTGGCCTTCAACATGGGAGACGAAAAGGAAGGGGGTACATGGAAAGAGAGCGCCAAGGACCCGGAGGTAGGTGCGGTACAACAAGGTCGAGGACGGGGCGGCATGGTTCATGAGGAAATGGCACAGGCAGGAGGCGGAAGCGTCCGCGAAGCGCCCGCGCGCGAGGGAAGCAGAAGCAGAGAGCACGGCCATCTCCGGACCGAAGAGGGAGAGCCGGGGAAGCGGTGGTGGGGGGAATAAACGGCGACAGGTCACTGCTGTAGAATCGAGTAGGGCGGCCGAGGCAGCACTTGTGGCGAACAATTTACCCGGCTGATGTTGTTGCGCCCTGCTTCCCTCCCTGCTGTATGCTATTCTCTATGTAGTCTATGTCCTTTGTATTGCCTCGGGCTCTGTGCTGTGTTTCTTTTTTTCATAACCTCCCTTCCTACTCTGCTGTGTTAGGTACCTTGATCTCGCTTTGCGGTAGCCTTTGTTTTTGTACGTCTGGCGGTCTGCCCATCTGCCGCCTCTTTGTCCTGTTTGCTCCGTTACTCCAATTCCCTGGTGCGTAGTGCCTGGTGCTGGTACTTTGCCCTTTGATTTTTTCTTTGGGCGGGTGTGGGAAGCGTCCTCCTTTATTTTTTTTTATTTTTATTTTGATCGGTTTCAGAGGGCTCTTTTCTCGAACGGTCGGTGCGATACCTGTTCTTTTCTATCATTTTGTTTTCTTTTTCCGAGTGGTTTGTACCCTATTTTTGTTTTGTTTCCCCGCAGCATCTCATGTGCCGGGTTTTGAGACCACGGGCTCCCCATGTTTTGTGGACTATAGAGTTACTGTAGGAAACAACAACAACAACAACAAAAACAACAACAACAACAACAACAACAACAACGATATTCGTGATCGCCTCGTCGTCGAGCTACGTCGATAGCTGCAGAGTTTCTGTATTTTTGAGAAAATGCAACACTTTTGGACAAAGTGATCCACGGAACTCCCTAATCGTACCACGGAAATTCCCAAGGTCTATTTTATGAAATGATATCCAAAGGAAAACCCATCCGCGGAATTTCGGGAGGAATCGTTTGCCGCCATTTATTATCAAATCGTGAGGTTGGTCCTCGCAAAAGAACGCGAAGAAAATGACCTCCCAGAATCGATTAATGGGGCATAACTTTGTCGTCTCTTTGTATTTGAAAAATCGGAAAGAAAAGTCATCTGGCAATTCCTAGATAGAGCTGTCGAAATCCGGTCACAGATTTTCGTCTGAAAAGTAGACTCTCCATCATATTGCGAACAAACACTTCTGGATATTTCGAAATAATAAGTCAAGGAATAGACAAAAAAAAGGAAGAAAAACGATCCTTAGATTTCCGCGCCTGGAGACAGGCTCTACACGGTGTATTTGAAATTCTGAACAACCACCCCGAGAAAAGTGCACTTAAGTGCAGGGTGACAAAGTGGATCGGAAGCAAGCCCAAGACGGACCACATGCAAATAGAGAAGTAGCCAGGAAAGGGTATACCCGGGTGGATTATCACCATTCATTTCAGGGTACACTTGGAAATCAACACGACACCAATCTCCAACAGCATCCGCTGTAGATCGCGGCGAAACAACAACCCGCTGTCTGTGTCCTGTGTCGTGCCTCGGAAGCATGATGCACGAGGCAGGTCGTGCCCGGTTTTCTCTCTCTCTAGGCCCCTCTCTCTCTGTGTGCTTTTACTGATGGTTGAGAAGCACGATGACCACTAGACTAATAGTCAGCCGCTGACTAGTAGTAGTCTAGCTAGTGGTCATCGTGCTTCTCAATAAAAGTTAATGCCCGTGTCCGGTCAAGCTGTTAAGCCACGAACACATCCCCCCAGGGTTGCCATCCCTGTAATCAGCACTGTGCTTGCCAGATCGATACAAGCAGCTCATCGACTCATTTTGCGAAGAAACCAGTTTCCCTAGACTAGTCTAGACTAGGCCTTTTTTCCCCATATGTCGGGCGCAAAGAACATTAATTTTTATTCTGTTGGGGAGATTCGAACCCCGGACACACCTCCATAACATGATGGGCGAATGGCTTACGCTGTGCAGCGAGGGACGCTGTCCTCTCGAGCTGCTTGTGTTGTTCATGCGAGGTATAGGTAGGGTAAACACAGAGCGATTTATTGTCCACAGTCAGACACCCAACCAAGCTGATTTACCTGACGGTTACAGACTTGGAAGCACGCCTTCACAAAACTGCACAAAACCCATGCCGTAGAATCTATTCGATATACTCGTAGCATAGCATGCGGGTGGTATATTGCGTATACATATGCGGGATTTGCAGTGACGAACTACGGAGGAACAAGAAGTTTCTTTTTGTTTTCCTTTGGAGTGTGGTAGATTGGTGGACATTCATGGAGATTCGTTTTGGGTGTTTAAGCGTTATGCGTGACTTGATGCCGTGATGGAATGACGAGCTCAAGCACGCCCCCGATGAATACAACGCGTTTTTCAACACGTATGCACGACTTTACCTACCCCTACGGCCCGTCATGGCCGAGCTGCTCTACACTCCCATCACACACAACTGAGCCACCCGAATTATCGATCACGCTAGCGTATGACACGTCGTCTACGAGATTCGTGTCGAGCTTAGTTTGGAGTATCGCTTTGCGGCGATCAGCAGCTGTCACCGATGTCCAGCGCCGACCAAGAACGAGGCGCCCGTCACGCAGAAGACGAGGACGCCAGCATCAACGAGTTGGTGGAGATGAGGGTACAACAACGACTGGCCGACATGAGGCGGCAACAAGACGAGGAGGAGTAGAGGACAGAGAACGTCCGAACCGGAAGCGAGCACGAGACACACCACCAGCAACAAGCGGGGCGGCCATCGGCGAACCCGGCCGTAGATGACATCGCCCGCACTCTCGGCGACGCCCTGACCAGCCGTCTTCAAATATCACCCGCAGACACGGGTAGAGTACCAAGTAGCGCAGCGACCCTTAGAATGACTAAGGTTAAGCGCCTAGCGCCGTGGGATTGTATGTATAGGCAAGGGGAGGATGAACAGGCAAGATTTTTTATTTTTCGATCGAACATGATTGCTATGTTTGCGCAAGAAGGAGTCAGGGAAGTGGTATTGAGTGACAATCGGGCTAGAAGGAGTAGACATGGAGGACTTGCGTAGGATGCACTCGCCTGATACGGTAGAAAAGGCGATCACGGCGTGGGATTTGATTATCACGTCTATAACATACATGCCTATCTTCTGTTGGTATGCCCTTGTTGTGTGACCTCCAGAGTCCAAAGAGTGTTGTTAACGGCATGTATCATCGTAGGGGGACATGAGGGAGAAGGAGGGAAGAGTGCCAGGCCCAAAGCCAGTCGAAAAGGGGGCCCGCAACTCGTATCTCAAGGTCTCTCCTAGCCACCCCTCAAGGCAATCCCATCTGCGGTACACGAAACCGCCAGTGATTTGGTACAATCCGACTAATCTACCTCCACGCACGAACACCCTCCCTTGGTTCTTTACGCCAGTGAATAACCACCACTCGTGCGTCGAAGAGTACATCCGAAAAGCACCTAAAACAACGCGAATCAGAAACAAGGGGAAACCCGCCATCGGATAAAAACCCCTTACAAATCTCAACGCCTTCACGCCGTTCATATCATGAAAGATTCCAACGGCCGTACTGCAACATCAAGGCAAGACAATATCTACCACCGCCCCCGGCTCGCTCTCTACGCCACGCTCGGCTGACTCGACAAGGTCCTCCCTGCGCAGCACAAAAACAAATCATCAAGCACGCCCCTACCCTTCTGGTGAGGTCGTACGACAAACTTGGCCAAAATAGCCACCTACAATGCACCTGATATCCATTGTCCGCTCCTCGAATAACACTGATAGTCTACACGCCGTATGCCCTTCCTTACGCAACACATGCCTAGTAGTTGGGGACGACTTCATACGCCCTCTCTAGTGTGCCAAACAACGCGCGTCGCTTTCCCCTTCTCGGAAAGGCGCTTTCCTTTCTTCATTCCTTGAACAAAGGCGACGCCTGGTGAGATTCGAACTCCCGCCGTATCCTTACTCGTTACATGGTCTTATTCACCAGACTACTCAGTCACCTGGTTGCCTAGAAGCACATACACGTGGCGATCGTCCAGCATTCAATCAACAAATCAGACACATGGTACATGCAACATCGTGGAAACACGACCAAACTCCTCCCGTAAATAGAGTCCAACAACACCCAAGAGGCAACGCCCTCCGTCATCCAATAACTGCAAGATCGAAATAGTTCCACCTCAATCATGAGAGGACGACCATAACTCTGTCACGTTGCAGAATATCTGCAGACCGGGCGCAAAACTCTCCGAGCATTACACTCTCCAAAACAAAAAAAA